AGTTCAGTGGGAGAAATCAAGATTGGATCTTGATATCAGTTCCTTGTGAAGGGACTGATAGGAAGCTGTGCTCACGTGCTGTCCTGCTAATTCTTGCGAAGGATTAGGTTCTTGAGAAGAACACTGTTGATTCTGCTCCATCTTGCACTGCGCCATCTTTAGTGGGAGCAGTCTTTGGATCCTTCCTTGGGCGTGAACACCTTCGTTGGGAGATATTATTTCTTCGTATCAGGTATTATTTCTTCGTCGGGAGATAGTATTGTACCAGAATTCACAAGGTTCTCGCATTCACTCGGTATTCCATGTGTCCCTTCTCAAGAAAAAATGGGGAGACAATTGCTGCTAGTAACGAAGTACCTCCACTAACTGAAGATGGTGATTTGACTATTGAACCGGAGGTAATACTGGACACCTGTTGGATCAAAAAGGGGTATCGAATTATTGAAGAAAGCTTGATCAAATGGAGACAACTTCCAATGGAGGATGCTACATGGGAGAACACGCAAGAAATAAAAGACAAATTCATGAACCTTGAGGACAAGGTTCTAGCCAAAGGAGGGGTTATTGATAAGCCATGAAGATCGCAGAGAACACCCGTGAAGAACCCAAAATACATCGACTAATGTATCATGCATGGTCCATCCAAGGCATGACGTGGCAGCAGGAGAAGCACAACAGATTCTCTCCATTTTCTGTTCTATTTTCTTGTTAGTCAGTTACTAGGAGTTAGTCAATAAGGCCAAACTGTTAGCCATAGGAAGCGATCAATTGGTTAAGTGGTTATTGCATAAGAATAGGTCAGGTTGTTAGTGGTTAATTTGTTATGTTGCTATGGCTTAGGGATCGACCAACTAGTTAGAGAAGCTAATCCCTTGGTCAGTGGCTATTTTAGTGGAAGTCAGTTGAGGTTTCTTGTATTTAAACACCGCCCAACCAGCTTGGAAGGGCAGTTGGAAGTTAATAAAATCTTGTGGTCTTATTCTCACCCTAAGCAAAATACTCTATCAACTCTAGCTTTGACTGGGACCTATCAAATTGCACATATTCGCAAGTTCTAGAGGCACTTCCGACAATTCGTGACAGAAAACTCTTATAACTGTACATCTTCACAAGTTCTGGAGGTAGTTCCAGCTAACAAAAAATGTTTAGAGTCGGTGAAGGCCAAGCTGGAGGATGGCGCCCTTACAATCTCCTTGGCCAAGCTGTCCCTGGACCAGATAAAGGGCCCTAGAGTGGTCGGAATCGAAGGTGGTGATGGGGAGCAAGAAAAGCTGAGTGAGGCCAGCACTAGTTGTGCCAAAAGACAAGAAATATATAAACTAATTTAAAAAGGGTAAAATGGGTATTTAAAAACATTTGATGCATGGGTTTAACGTTTTCCGTTTGGATCAGTGACGGAAGGGAGATGTTTGTTGAATTTTTTAAAAATTCAAGGAAGAATTTTGTTAAAATAAAAATATAGGGGAGATTTTTATGATTGTCAGAAAATTGAGGGTTGATTTTTGTATTTTACCCATTTTTTTTTGCGATAGTATCTAGGCACACTCCGACACTCTCCAAACACAGTCATCCAGCCGCGCATTGAGAACATCTTTCTAAATACACACGGCCCTAAATACTCACGCTTTCGTGGGTAAAGAGCAGAATATATGATTGTAAAAGTTGGTTCGGAGGATGGGTTCCACGACTTTCACCATTTATGGCGGTCTTATCTCCACCTCTCTTGCTCGCTCCTCCTCCTGTTCAACTTCAAGGTCTTTCTCATCAAAATTCCTCAAGTAAGTGCAATCCGAAAAAAAACATACCTTAGTTCTTTATTTTTTTCGTTTTTGTTTTTCTGACTTTCTGGAAACTGGCTTTTGAGTACTTGTCGAAGTTCTTGCTCAAATTAGAACCGACCCTCTTTTGGTTATCACTACTGGTGACCGAAAATCGTCGAAAAGCTTGAAAGGAAAGCAAATTTTAGTGAGCAGAAAGTTGTTGACTTCGAACAATATTATAGTTTGTGTTAAAGCTGTTCTCTGTATTGGATGATCTGTTATACTTCTTAAAGAATCTACCAAGATTAACATGTTTTATGGGGTTTTTCTTTGGTAGGTATGTTTGTTTTCTGGAATTAAACCTACACAGAATTTGCATTTTATATGAGAACTATGAACATCCAATAATAAGCAAGATTTATTCCTTCATCCAAGGTTTCAAGTTTCAATTGGTGGAAGTAATCTTAAGAAACTAATTGCAAAATGTAAGTACCATAAGATTTGATTGAGATTTTCAGAGGAACGATTGATATGTAGTTTAGTTAAGCTGTATATAAACCAGTATCGGGGTAGCTAGAACATGTAAATTTCGTCATGATTCCTTACTTTGTCTATTTTCTGATTTAGACTCTTCGACCGGTAGGTCACCTATTGGATAGGTCACAGTTCAAAAACAGTGCCATTTGGGTAGTTTTAATTGTCTTCAGGAATTAGAACTGGGACACATGAAATAGCAGGAAAAAAATTGGCTACCTTTGGTGCCATGATGGTTAGATTGATATGTTTTTGGCTGCGTCCTGTCTTCAGATGTGAAAATAGGTTACGGTATCTAGATGAATGTTTTAATGAGCCATTGGAAAGTGTAGCTTTAAATGAGACATTTTATGTTTTTCATAGAAGCAATCGTTCTCCTGGTTTTATTCTGGCATCATCCTTTTAATTTCAAATTTGTCTTACAGAACTATTTTTCTTCGGCTGGGGATTGAGAAGGAATGGAGATGTGAAGCTGATTACCCATAGGAGCAGATGCCAAGCATTTCGGATCTTGGCCAACTCTAATGTATGAACCAGTTCAAGGCCTCTATTTATATTATGCTATTTTCTTTTATTTCGAATATGACTGGTTACTAGGAATTCGATTGTCTAGTTTCCAGTTTATCACCTTTTCAATCTCTTGGTTTACAGTACAAAAACTGGTGATTCATCTGCTACTTGGCATCCCATATGGTAGCAAAAAAAGAAAAAAAAAATCCTGAGTAATAAAGCACTCAAAACAAAGTAATATCAGTAATGGCAGATTCATACTATGTTGGCTATTTTGTTAATACCTAAAGGCTCTAGAGTTTTCTATTTTTCATTCTATAGTACATTCCTTTCATCCATTGTTATATATATGTAGTGTTACTCTCCTGGATATGGACTTTATGGCGTCAAATAATTAATAAACGGGAGCCATTAGATTGTAGGCTGCACACTCATTGTTATTCAGAAAGATTGGTTGTTTTACCCTTGTTTGTAAATTCTTGGTCAAGCTTAATTTTGGACAAAATTGAATAATGCTTCAGAAGGAAAGTGAGTTTTTCCCCCATCACTTCCCTTCTTAATCATTCTTCACCTTGTGAAGGATAACTTGTTTTTTATTTGTATCTGTACATATTACCATTATGCACATGTTTGTATATTGGAAAGTTAGATATTACATTGGGCTTTTGAATATATGTTTCTCAGGTTATATGCCACCACTTGCCTTTTGATGCTTCAATCAAAAATCAATAAGATAGTTAACTTGAGTAGACTTGGTATTTTTGATTCATTTTTTGATCTTCTTGAAGAGAATGAATTGAATGTTGATACAAGATGGTTGGTTATGGATTTATGCATTGAAGTCAGATATTTGCGTCCTCATAAACATAAGACAGGGTTTAAGATCATGTGGTCAATTGAACATATCCTTGGTTTTGCTAGGAGTTGATGTGAATGTTTGATTTTATAATCCTTGGTATGAAAACTGAGGACTTGGTGAACCTGTCCATTTTCCTATTTTTTTCTCTTCTCAATTTTTTAGACAATGACATAGTTTAGATGGAAGATGTTGTTCTCTTTCTTTAGTTTCTATCAATGTTGTTTATTTGTAGGCATCTCGAGGAAAAGGAAATTCAAGCAATGAGATAATCATGGTTGATCCTTTGGAGGCAAAGCGCTTAGCTGCCAAACAAATGCAGGAAATCAAAGCCAAAGAGAAGTTCAAGGTGAGTGAACCTATTTTCTCTTATCCTCCAGAGAAGATGCTTCTCTATGTAGTCAAAAAGCAAGTCGTATATAAAGAAAGAAAAAGAAAAATAGAGAAACATAAGATTTTAGGTGATCTGGCGATTTGTGTTTACATCAGTGGATGATCCCTGTGAAATTCACTATTCTCAGTTCAACAAAATACGGCTCTAGCAAATAGACGAGTTTTTTTAATTATTCATTTAGGTTCCTCGATGCTTTCCTAATTGAAGTTCAACTGAGAACATGCAAGATGAAATCCCACCTCCCCCACCCCTCCGGCCCACCCCACCTTGAACCACCACCAGGTTTTGACCACCTTGCAGATAGGACTACAACTTGGGTGGGCCCAACGGCCCCAACCTGAGCCTGGTCTAATCAAATTGATCTTGTGCACAAATTTGGCTTGAGTTTTGATCTTTGGACTTGGCTCAGCCCAGAAAACTTGAACTTATCCTAAATTCAGGTTGGTCTTAGGTTGAGGACTATCATTTACAGTATAGAGTATTAGTTATTTACAATATGTATATCGTCATCATCCAAGTCTTGTTTTGCCATTCTGTTCTATTCAATTTACAGTCTACATATGATTAATCCAAACTCATACCTATGCACAAATATGTATAGATGCACATATCTTATTGCATGTTTTTATATAAATACATCTTTCTCTCTCTCTCAACTACATGGGTTGGCACAAAAATGTATGTATCCATTTATTAATGGCATTTGTGCATATTTATAATCAATTCTACTTCTAATTTGGGCTATAAAGCTCAATAAAAGGTGAATGTGCGAAACAAATCTAGAAAAATTTTTAAACCTTACCAACTTGCCTTGGCCTGACCAAGCCCGAACCTGGCCTGAGTTGTGTTAAGTCAAGCTTGGGGCAGTTAACTTGGGGTTGACAATTGGTTGGGCTAGGTCTGAGCCTGAGGTCTAAGTCTTAGGGTTGGGCCTGGGTTGACTGCCTACCTGCCCAAGTTGTACCCCTGCTTTCACATAATGCCTGAATAAGGTTAGGGAGAACCTGCTTGCCTTTGGCTTGCAGAATTCCCACTTTTAACACTGTTTTGTGTGTAAAAGGTCCCTTCTAATAGAAGATACCTATTTATCAAAAGTATGGTATGGAGAAAAAACTACAAGGTGAGAAACTGAATCTGAGTATGTTATTGAAGACCGAGAAACCAGTCCTGAAGTTTTGGTGTCTAATCTAGCAAGTAAAAAGTTTTCAAGTACAAGGTGAGGAACTGAATATCCGGTAGGTGATAAGATGAGAGAAAGTAGACTAAGATGGTTTGGTCTCACATATGTAGAAGACCAAAAGGGACATGGGTTGAAGTAGTAAGAAATGATTTAAGTTATACTAATTTAACAATGGCTATAGCATTAAATAGAATGATTTAAGTGATACTAATTTAACAATGGCTATAGCATTAAACAGAATGAATGGTGAAACAGGATTCATGTAGCAGGCCCCCTATAGTTGGGATAAGGCTTGGATGATGATGATGATGAAGGTGAGGAACTGAATATGAGTATGTTATTAAAGACTGAGAAACTAGTCCTCAAGTTTTGGTGTCTAATCTAGCAACTGAAAATTTTTAACTACAACTTACGGTTTTTTTTTTGGTAAAACAACTACAACTTAAGGTTTGGTCTCCTAATGTGGTTGTTGGTGTGGAACAGAACACCTTTTTTTCTAATTATACCACTATTTGCAAGCACTGTGAGTCCAAATAACATGGACAAATCATTATCATGAAAAAAAAACACTTTTTGGTTGTTTGGATATATTAGATGGTCATTGTTTGGTGCATGCATATGTTGTCCATCTGTTTCACGTGTCCCTATATAACCTCAGTTTACTTTCTGCCACAGCCGTTCCCAACAGATTATCAGCATATCTAGGCCATGTTTTCTTCCACTATTCTCTTTCTGTATTTTGATTTGATGAATCTGGCCTGACAAAATGATTGAATAACAGAGGCGACGTCAAATTGAAGCACTTAATGGAGCATGGGCAATGATCGGTCTTACAGCAGGGTTGGTCATTGAAGGTCAGACCGGAAATAGTATTCTAACACAGGTAAGTGTTGTGCACAGAGAAGGGTGGCTCTGAGTTCCACGTTCGTTTTGGCAACTGATAATTCTTTTTGTTTCTACAGTTGGCAGGATATTGGCATTCCATCATTGGTTTCTTTTTCCGATAGTACATATTCCTTTTAGAACCGGAGAATCCAAATGGAAACACGGGAACACTGAATGCTTAAGTAGCCACTAAATCCTTTTAACAATTGATGGTTCATTTCACTGGAATTCTACTGCTGGAAGTATGCAACTACCAATCTTTTTTATATCAATCAAGAAAAAAAATACCAATCTTTTCTCATTTGGAGAGGGTTTTATTTCTTTTTATTTTATTTATTTATTTTTTTCATTTTGTTTGCAAGAAACCACCACATATGAGAAATGGCACAATTTTCTACAGTTGTAAATTGAAATAACTCTAATTCCTACTTTTATTGCAATTCATCAATATGCGTGCTTTCATGGAAAATTTTGGCTTTGCGTAGTCAAATGACGCATCCACCGGTAAATCATATGAATTTCAACCCCTAATGTGTTTGCTAAACCAAAGTTGAAGCTATTAATCTTCTATTGGTGATTTCTTTGGATGCACCATGGTGCAGTAGCAGTGCCATTGCTGATTGCAGGACATTGTTAGCTCGCTTGGAATTCTACTAGGTATCTCATATCCCCAGGAGTGCAAATGCTGTAGTTCATAACTCACAAGTAATCTAAATTTGCCATTTCTTGTTCTAGGCTTTGTATGTGGTACAATAATTCTAGCTTCCTGGTTGACATTGTCACCTCTGAGATGTAGTCAGTAGAATGATTGAACGACTTAGTCTTGTTTGGCTCTAAAAGGAGGATTATAATCCTTTAAAGATGTATAAAAACAGGAGATTTTAGGCTATGTTTGGGAGTGCTTATGTTAAAAATAAGTGCTTATTGAATAAGTGTTTAAAAACAAGTGTTTATTCGAATACATTTGACACCCAACTTTTTCATGTGCACTTATTTCATATTGGGTGTTTGATAGCATTTTTTCTTTAATAAGCACTTAAATAAGGATTTGACTATTTTGTCTTTTATTTTCTTTCAAATTTTATAAAAGCATTTTCATAAAAGTATTTTTGTGAAAGTACTTTTATATAATCATTGTGAAAACACTTTTATAAAAGTAATTTTACGAAAGCACTTTTATTAAAGTACTTTTATAAAAGCACTTTTATGAAAGTATTTTTATAAAAGCACTTTTGTGAAAGTACTTTTATAAAAGAACTTTTATAAAATTCAACTAGGGATAATTTTGAAAGAAAAAAATTGAATCAAGTGCTTCTTATATAAGCACTTAAAAAAGCTAGAAATTTGGGCTTAAATAGTAAGCCATTATTTTTAAAATAAGTACTTATTCTGGACTTATTTCCCAAACATCAATAAGTGCTTAATGGCCCAAATAAGCATTTATTTTGAATAAACACTTAATTTTAAGCTTTCCCAAACATGGCCTTAATCTTGTAAAGAGAAGCAACTTACACCATTTGAAGTTATTGTGACACTTCTATGGTTGAGATTGACAGGTGTTAATTGAAGCCAAGTTAAGTAATTTCAAGTGACGGGTGTGGACAGAGGGATGCACGTGAGGTCCACTGACCTTATCATTGAGAGCTTGTGGTTGTGTGGGTTTGATTTTGTGCCATCTCAAGTGACCATCTCAAACTCAGTACCTTGGGCAGTGTTTGGTTAGTGCAAATTTCATTTGCATTGGTGTGAATGTATGGGAATGCAAATTGGCTAAGAATTTTGGTTTGACCTTGTTAGATATGTTTTTTTTTTTATTTTTTTTATCAATAACAACAATTTCATTAATTAGACTATGAATATAGTACAAGCAGGGAGGTAAAAATTCTTAACTTCCCCTAGTGAGGCTAAAGCCCCAAACAAAGTCTAAAATTACAATTGAGCCCAAACTAAAGCTTCCCTATCCACTCCAATCTCTGCTAACTCATCAGCAAATGGGTTAGCAGATCTCTTCACCCAACTGAATTTCACTTCCATATCCTTGACCAACCACTTAAACCTTTTCTTTTCATTTCTATACCGCCATAAACCAGCCTTATCTTCTTTCAGCCACCCTACTACCATCTCAAAATCCCCTTCAATTACAAGTTTTTTGATATTCATCTCCTTCGCTTTTTGGGCACCTTCCACAATTGCATAGATCTCAGCTCTGATAGAGACCCTCGTCTCTATTGGGCCTGATAACAGAGTTAAGATAGACCCATTCTCATCCCTAAACACACCCCCAATACCTGAAGGTCCCAAATTCCCTTTGCTACTCCCATCAAAGTTAAGTTTTATGAAACTCGATGGTGGAGGACTCCATGAAATTCTTAGGTTTGTTTTGATCTGGTGACACTTAGTAATCTCACCCCACTTTCTAAGCAAGTCATCCACAGTGAAATCTCTAAACAACTATGAGGATTTCATTCACTGTACTACCTTGACATGTATCAAGTCTATCAATTCTTCAGCCCTCCTCTTTTTTCTAGAAAAAAAAATCCTTGAATTCTTTTCCTTCCGCAAAGACTAACAAACTGCAACCTTTATGTCATGGGGTTAGTCGACGAGGCCCCATGCGACACTTGATTGGGTCAAGTAAGCCCACGAAAGCAAGAAATATCACACAAAATGCAACAAAGAATGCACACAAATTAGTCAAAAAGCACTTTATATTGCATTAAAAATGGCAAGCACAAGCACACAAGTTTGTGTTGAGGGGACTTCAAGCTTAACCTTTACATGATATTGGCACCACACAACTACCTACCTCCCCTCAAAGATTAGCTTAAGCTTTTGGTGCTCTGACAAAAGATTACATCAAAATATTAAAAAATCATACTGTATAATTACAATATTGCCAAGGGCATTTCTCCATACAAAATACATGTGTAACCCCACCCAAGACACACTTGATGGCGCTTTGATGGCATGTTGCGGGCAGGGCAAAGGCACTTGGTGGCATGAAAAAGTAGTCACTTGTGATAGTCTCCCCCACTCAATTCAGTCTTCATCCTCGAAGACTAGCTTTGGCTTGTTGCTTGAGTCTATTATTGTTGAAGGAGGGTTCTTCAACTGATCCGTGAACATCTTCCCTTCTAAGGCCTAGGCAAGTGCTTTGGTAATAGGTTTGAAGGTGCTCAGAGTGATGGGGAAACTTATGGCTAGGTCCTAAGTTAAGTCTTTGGCTAGCGGCTTGAAGGTAAGTCAAGTGTGGCTTAGTATGGCTTGTGCTATTAGCTAAGGTAGGGATTGGTGCAAAAGATGAGTTTAGTTTAAAAGGATGTTGGATATTGAGGGGTGTTCCCCAAGGTTCTCTCTTCATACTACTATGTAGGATAGATGGAGGCTGAATGTTGGAATGATTCTTAGGGTATGTGGGTAACACTCTCTTCCCATGGTGATAGGTAAGGCTGGTGCTGGATTTCGCCTTGGGTCACCTCTTTGGCCTGTTAGTGGAGGGCGCGAACGACTTCTGCTGCGGCTATGGCGGTGATGACGCTGTCTTCTTGCTGGAGATGTCACAATCACTTCCGATTGCAATGACTATGGTTGCTACTACAGAGCTCTTTGGTGTCCTTTGATGTGGGGATGGAAGATGAAGTTGTAGGGCTGAGACTTGCTTCTTCTTTGTGTCGGCTAATGCATTCATGGTGACCATGGAAGGTGAGGTGCTGGTGTAGCTTTCTCTTGTGTCAAGAAGTCCATGCCTAGGACAACTTTGAAGTCATCCATGTGTACTATGGAGAGGTCAATCTCCTTGTCCCAGGTGTCGACTCAGAGTCTTACTTGACAAGCCATGCCTTCAATGGGTTTTGCACTTGTGTTAACAAATTTGAGCCAGCCTAGCACTTTTGAAATTGCCAAATTAAGTCTCTTGGCCTCTACAATGGATATAAAATTATGAGTGGCCCCTGTGTCAACTAGGGCCCTGGTTGGCTTCTCGCCAACTAGTCATCTCTTGACCGAGTTGGGCTGTTTGGAGGTAGCCCCTTTCTTCATCATGGCATTGAAAAGTTGGAGGGTACCCACTCTTGGTGCCTGTGTACTCTGCTCCCCATCGCTCTACTCATCATCACTCAACTTGGCAATGAGGGCATTTAGCTTCTCATGTTTCGAGAAGTTCTTTGTCAAGTGCTCCTCTCCACAAATGTAACAAGTGGGAGGACAGGTTGGTCTCCCTTGATATTTGTTGTTGTAGGAGCTTCGACTTCCTTGTGGCTACTTTCCTTTATGGTACTCGACTGGCTTGTGGTGCAATGACTGCTTCTCCTTCGGGGGACTTGGTTGTCTATCTCCCCCACTCAAATTTGTGGCACACAGGCTGGCTGGTTTGCTTCTTTCATCATCCGATAGTCTTAGTTCACTTAGTTGTTTGGCCTTAGCCATGGCGGAGGTAAGGTCTTGTATATTACGTCGTTGGATCTCGAGCTCGGCCCAAGGCTTTAGGCCACCCATGAAGTTGAACAATAAGTCTGTCCAACATGTTGGTGACCTCTAATATGAGAGCTGAAAATTCTTTGACATATTCATAGAGCGAGTCTCCATATTTGAAAATTTTCATCTTGCGATGAGCGAGGTACTCCATGTTCTCTAGGTAAAACTGTCTCTTTAGCTACAACTTAAAGTTGGTCCATGTATGAATGGAACACGTACCATGTTCCATGTCAACACATCTTTTGAGCCACCACAACATAGCAACATCAGTCAAATAGATAGTAGTCGTATGTACCTAAGTTGTTTCATCATTCAAATTGGCTGTGGCAAGGTATTGCTCCATTTTCCACAGGAAGTTATCGTACTCTCATGCATTGAGTATGCCTGAATAGGGAGCTAGCTCCCTAATCTTGATGTGGGCAGGAGTGTGCACAAAGGAGGTGTTGGTTGGATTGGCAATGGCCCTCTTCAGAATTGCACACTCGGCCTTGAGTTCATTTAGTTGAGCTTGGATGTCAGAGGAGGAACACACGACTGACTTGATGGCTGCCCACTCCGCTTTCATTTCATTTAATTGGGCTTGAATGGCCATTGGGAAGGACATGGATTTCCTCCATGTTGCCCATTCGCTTTTCATTTCATCGAGTTGGGTCTGGAAGTTGTCTAGCTTGTCTTGAATGTTAGAGTGGGACGAGCTTCCCTCTTGTTGGCATGTAGTGCTACAAACTTCCTTTAGCGTCTCATTGAGCATGTCACAGACCTCATTGGCAACACCACTCATGCGTCCTTCCACCTCTACCACTTCACTATCGATGGCTTTGACATTTTGGTGGAGCTTGTCTACTCAATTACGCATCTCACCCACAGTGGCTTCACAATGTAGCATCCGTAGGTCGACAGCGGAATGCTTATTTGTGGATTTCTCACGCTTGCTTGCCTTTGATGTGCGTGTCTTCGGTGCTTTGTCCTTG